TTTTAGTGAAATATTTTTAAAAATCGGTAACTTTTAATTACAATTAATCTATTTATTAACTTTTATGTTAATACTTTTGACACCACTTTACATTGAAATCAATGGGAAAATGCTATGTTAATATATAAAATTTATAGTGTATATTGAATAAATGCGTTATATTTTATACATTATTGTTTAATGCATAATGTGTGTTATATACTGTACATAATACATTATATTAAAGTGTACTTGTTAATGTTTATATTTATACGATATAAATTATACCATTTTCTTTACTTGATAGATATTGTAATCATTACAATGTTATAAATTCTACGAATAAGAAAGTGTTTATTAAAATATTTTGAATTTATTACAAAATTTATGTCATTTATAAATGTTAACAAAATATAGTTTAAATGTAATTAAAAACATTAAATGATGTGATAATTCGTACAATAATGTAATGAATGCTATGATTAAAGCCGAGACCAACGCATAGAAAAACACGTGAATATCAATGAGTTTTAATTGAAATGTTGACGGATTTGTTGTGTCCATCCATTCATTTATATTATTATCAGTACTATTATAACGCGATTTTAAGATCTCAAGGGTTTTAATAAGAATTTTTCTATATCTTGCTCTCCGTGAATGTACACCCGTTTCAATCAATATTACATACCTTTTAATGTATATATTTTTAATTAATATTAAATAAAATAACTTATTTAAAACATATCTTACTTTTGTCTGAAAAGTTGTTTAATCCTATAGTTGAGTCGTTTGTTCACTAATACCCCACCGATTGCTAGCATTGAGTTAGCGTTAGATTTATGGAGGGGTAGGGATGGGAACAGATCTATCATCCGATCGATTTGGTCTTCGGGTCCAATGAATACCGCATTTTGAATCATTATATCCTTTAATAGAGTTATGGGTTGTATACGATGTGAGTCTTGGTGTTTATACTTCAATGTTGGGTATTTGGTCTAATTGTTTTAAAAATTCATTTTAATTATAACTGTTAAGTAATATAATTTGTATTTAATAAATATTATAATTGTATAATCAAATTAGTAAATATTATAAATTCGATTACCTTGATCTGTGTGTTGAAAATATAACCTACTTTACTGATTAATACTGTTAAACTTGTACTGACGATATCCTCAATACTGTCTATCCGTCGGATCGGAGTATTCGCTAAATTGGATAGAAATTCATTGATAAACAATTGGTTCCAAAACAGACAGTTTGCTATCCATAGGGCGAATACAATACTCGATAATGTGCTAGTTCGAATATATCTACTAATTGTAGCTGTATAACAAAATAAATTTTATAAATAAGTAATTAATTGATAAAAATGGTTATTGGCTTACATTTTGAAATTAACGATAAAAATAAATCTAACCCAATGTGTATAGCTATATGTTTAATATCCAAATTATTTTTACGATGTATCAATATTGTTAAAACACACAAACATATAATAAACAGAAATAATATAGCCATCCAAGTAGACACTCGAAACGAGCTGATCAAGGTAAATTTGCCATATTCGCGTACATCACTTGATAATATAGTTACTAAACTACTAACTAATGAGGGGTATATTGGATCACATTTAGACAATCTGTCATTTGTATAAATTAATGTTGTGCCAGACATGTCAGCTCTCTATTTGTTTTTAAAATATTTTATAATAAATTATTATTAATAATTCTAAATTTTTAATGCAAAACATATGTAAAATAATAAAAATAATGTACATCGTGAACAATCTCGGCCATAGATCCTGTCCAATTTCCATTTGACATTAAAAGTCCTCCAACTTTCGCACTTAGATTTACGAACTCAATGCTATTTTACATTTAAAATTATATTATAATAAATTGGATTTAAATATCAGAAACAATACCTGCATTTAATATATCTATATATTAATTCGAGTATTAGTGCAAATCCATCGCATATCTCATATAAATTAGCACTTATTTTACGAATCTGTATAATGTATAAATGTCATATTAAAATAAATCTCAGCCAAGTTAATTTTAAATATCATAATTAAGTATTATACACGTTCGTTGTTGAATGCAACCCGTATACGACAATCCCTAATATTATAGTCTATTTGAAACAGACCACTCTTGTTTACAGTTTGAATACATAATTTTTGTAAATCAACCATGGTTAAAACACAATTTTATTAATTTAATAATTTATTATTATTACTAAATTGAGCAAAATTATATTTACTGTATTGTTGATTAATTCTGTCAGAACACTTAATATTGAATATTATATAAACTAGTAAACAACATGATATATCGATTTACCTTAAATCAATTAAATAACAATTGAGAATAATTAATTTAGACTCATCTAGTTTAAAAGGAAAATAATATTGTATTATGTTTCCCTGTTGATATAGATTTTGTCTGTAATTATATTTATGATTGATTATGCTATATTTATGACATATTTTATGATCGATTAAATAATTATATTAAATAAGTATAGTAAAAATCGATTTTAAATATAATGTTACAAGTTACATATAAATGTTACCAATAATTTTATATTAACATTTTATAATAATTTTTATAATAACACGTTTATAATAATTTAACAACGAGTGAATTAAAACATGGAAAATACTAGATCATACAGTATACTACTGTATTCACATAATATTAATTACATACAAGATAAACGTCAGACACTGTGTATTACACAAGTCTTAATTTTATCATGTCTTATCAAAATAGTGATAACAACACTAAATAAATATCTTATTGGCAACACTAATCGTATATCACTAGTTAATAAATTGCCTGTTTATTAAGATACATCAAAATGAAAAAACATAACTCAATTTTAGTATAATATAAATTAAAAATTATAATAATATTTTATTGTAAACTAACATGGCAAGAAAATAAATCAATATTCATCATGGGTAATGTCGATCTTATATTACAATATTAGCAAACTATATGGTTCATAATCCAATTTTTGTAAATATTAAATGTATATAAAATGAGCATGCTAACTCAACTTCCACCCCAACTGTAAACCCTTCTATACATTGAAACAATTAGAAGGGTTTATAGTTGGGTAGTAGTTGTGCCCCATATTCATCATATCATGTCATGTGTATTGTTTTACTTTAATTTAGGAATATTTAAAAATTACACAACATCTATTATTATTTATTGTTAATGTTAGCTAATAATAGCTTATTATGAATGTACCTTATTTTAATTAGTTTGTAGTTGATTTTAATTATTCAACCATTACAAAATTATTTGTAGTAAACATGTATTTATTGTAAAAATGTAAACCATTTTGAATTGTTACCACATTCACTATCTGTTCATAGAAACAAGATTTAATACTAGTAATAGTAACAATGTAATGTAAATATTGTAAAACTTATAAATAAATTATTTGTTTAGATTGTAAATTAATATCTTTATTAAATAATTTAAATTATAATATTTTTATATATAATAATTTTTAAAAATAATTAGTGGCTATTATTTGTAGTAAAAAATATGTTATATTAATGAAATAATTTAACTGAGAGTAGAAATTTCAGTATAGGATCCCAGTCTGAAACCGGAGGCGCCCTTAACGTCGAGCCAACCCTCACGGGTGGCGATCACAGCCTCCCCAGCGTTCAGTCCTTCGGCCAAAACCAATAGACCGGCCGAAGAGTTCTTTGTGTCCAAAGATTTCATGTCTGATTGGATAGAAAATTATTAATAAAAATGTTTTTTAAACTTAATTGAGTTTTGCATACATTTCTCATATAAAGGTTCAGTAATTGTCTTCACTTCTTGTTTTTCGTCCACATTTTTA